AATTCACATTTTCCGCTAAACGCGTTTCAATTCGAATTGCTTGAAGATCAAATGAGGCCTGAGTTAAGTCCCACCGCGGGATGAAAAACAGAGTCTCCGGGAAGGCAGTTTCACTCGGGAAAGATTCAAGCCATCTTTCTTGAACATCGCTAGGAAAAGACATGTCGCATAAATCAGAGTTTTGGTGTTGTGTCTGAAACAGGAAAGAAGTCAGAACTCGCAACTTGTAAGAAGCCATACCCACAAACTGACACTGTTGCAGGAAATTGGCACAAGCCCCACCATGCTGCACAAAAAGTGCAAGCGCATGCGTCCAAGTGAATATTCTGGCAGCTGTGTCACTGCATTTTTGTGTCCATTTTGTCCAGAAAGAAAATAGCAAAGCAAAGTCTTGAGCAGTGCTACCCCATTTGTTCCATTCAGTGCGCGTGTTAGGCGGGTTCCATTGCAACGGTAGAGCATCTGAGAAGCATAACTGGCTAGTTTGACGACTAGGGCGAACCAATCTATTAACACATATGTGGTTTGAGATGGGCTCGCCTGGTGCAAATTGGCAGTATGACTCAGGATCACGATTCATTTCCATCCATTGCCAAAGGAGCTGAGAAACAAAATGTTGAAGTTTTTGCCAATATTAGGGGCCTGATGGGGCTTTAGGCCAGATTTCGGGGGGAACTTAGTCGTTAGATGTGTGGTCACTCGCTTGACAGCTCCTCGGCTGGGCCTTCTTTGGGTTTGGGCTTGGCTGGGGATACGGCTGAGGTTAGGGTTTGGGATTTATGGTGCACTTGTTGCAAAGCTCACCTCGAGGCAACCGTGGAAGATCCGTTGCCACTCCACTATGCTCTATGATGACTAGCAATTTGTTTGTGCTTCCTGTTATGGCCACAGACCTGTACGTGGCTGTCTGTATGTATATGTATACATGTAACATATGTTAATATGCGCGACTATATTTATCTTTGTTTATATTCATATATTAAGCGTTCATACTACAACCTTTTCCACTTCTGCAAATTGTCTGCACAGTGTTTGCTATGCTGCATCCTCTTTAGTTCATGCCCTTGAATGTTACCAGGTACTACACTGAAGGCTCCGAGCACTGCTTTGACAACTTGGACCAGAGCAGCCCCCGGCAGCGGGAAGTATTGAGGGATTAGGGTTTAGGGTTTTGACTCGTCCTACAATATGAAGATATTCGGATCTTTGACAGGGTTTGATTTGGGCTTTGGGCGTTTGGATCGATCGTAGCAGTAGCTCAGTAGTAGGGGATTGCTGTCTCCAGCTCCAACCGGACATGTCGGCCGGTCTTTGACTCGTGAATACTTGGGAAGCTCATGTCATTAGCAAGGCTATTGGCAGAACGCGATTCGGGTGATCCTCGCCACGGTGAACAGGTTCAAAACTGACCCGAACATGTTGATGTGGCTGGTGCCTGGCTTGATGTTTGAGTCGGAGGGCTGTTCGGAGTCTTACTCTCCTATCGCAAGTTTTACTTGCAGGCGCTTTGGGCGTCCCCTGCCAGTATGCACAAAAGCAACAGTCACCACTACAACGAAGACGACGACGACGATCCGCAAATCTAAACCCTTAGCCCTCGAACTCTTAACCCCTCAACATGAGCTGTCAGGTCGGAAACGAGCTCGAGATTCCCATTGACATCGAGAAGGGCAACGACTGCATGTGGAAGCGTGTGAACTGGAAGCTCGTCCCGGAAGCCCAGAAGCCGAAGCATTTTTCAATTTTGAGTTCACAGTGCCAACAGTATTGACATGAATATTGTACGTATTATATATACATATGTATATATATATATGTATGTACAGCGAGAGAGAGACAGAGAGAATGCAAAGTAGCCTTGAAAGTCATCCCAGGGTGGCGCGGAAAGTCAAAGACGCATCTTGGCAGAATCCGAGTTTGCGACTGCTAGATCAGCTATGAGTAACGGCAGTTTCCTCACCATCAACATCAGTATCGTCATCACGGCTCCTGACCATCATCATTCATCATTCATAGCCTTTTCCCTGATAGCCTTGCTATTGCGAAGAGAGTTGCTCCCGGAGGCCCAGACTCTGAGCCTAAACTCTTCACCGATTGCCCATGCTGCCGTTATCGAAGCCGTGCGACTGGATCCGAACTCTGCAGCCCAAAAGCCCGCGAACTGCAGCAGCAATGATAGACGTCTCGATCATGATGACTTGTGATGCGCTGGCAAAAGCGCGGGGTTCCAGTTCCGGCGCTGTGAAAGTTTCGAACAAGACCTCCAGGAAGTTATTGTCTGGAATCGCTTCAACACACTTCGCACGGGGTCGCCGAATCCCAGCATTCGTGCTTGTGTGGTGCAGGGGCCAAGGGCATGTTCGAAGGATTTCTTTAGCATGGCTTGGAATAGCCGGAATACGGAAAGGTCATGATACCATATAATTTCATACTATATTGGATTAGACTATGTTTTAATATAGTATAGAATATGCTTCAAAAGCAGCAAAACCCCGAAGCCCAGGCAGACCCCGACCATCCCGTGGGCATAGCCTTGGCTGGCATCGCTTCGCCCTTTCACAGAACAGATTGAGAGGTTTTAGGGTTTTTTGGGTAGAGAGATGTGAGGCTTGAAAGGGTTTTTAAAGTGACGAGGCCTGGGGTGGGGTTTGGGAGTGTTGCGGGCCTAGTTGGAGGGCTGACATGAGAAGTGGCCAAAATGGAGGGCAAGGCTATGCGTGAGGTTTCCGTCCTTCGCTCCAGAGTTTCCGCTACGTTGTCGGGTACTGAGGATCCCTAAAACTCGCGTTGAGGGCTCCAATTCAGTGTCTGTGCTTGCTCCCAGAGCCCATGAGAGGAGCACTGACAGTGCCTGCCTGCAAAGCTCCCACGTTGCAAGTTCAACCTGTCTCTTGCTATGTGCTGCGTGATACGTCTACTCTTGAGTACAACAGAAAGAGATGGGTAGGCTCCATTGCAGATCCAATGCAACGATGCACAGGGATCCCTGTCAAGATTCGACACGCCCGCGACAAGAAGCCTTCAAAGCCCCGCATGAGCCAAAAAGGCCCAAAGTGACGAAGATGTCGAAGCTTTGCCCAGACACTCGGCCATCGTATTTTTGTAGGGTTTAGGTTGGTTACGGTGTTTGGAGTTTGGGCCGGAGCTCGGGGCTTCGGCTTCGGCTTGCGAGCGCTTCACGTTTGAGGGCTGGGAGCGACGCTGTCCGGGCCACGTCCTCTTCAGAGCTTCCTTCGTCTTCGGCTCTGCGTTTCAAGCGCGGGTTCGCGGAAGGCTGAGACGGCGAGTTTCCTGCCGACGCCAGGAGATTGATGTCCTGGGGACCAACATCTACGGACGATGCCTCAGGGGACGTTGGGGACATGTTCTCCAGGTTTCTGGGGCGGCAAGTTTCTTGCGTTTATTTCGAGCGATCATAGCGAGAGGAACAGGCCAAAGATGATACATCAGATCTAGAGCCATACGAAGCTATCGGACTGCCGCATCCTGTCATCTTTCACAAAAGCAAAAACCGAGGAGACCTCCGTGGGCCAAGTGACAACAGTAGCCTTAGACCCGACCCCTAAACCCTTTAGGCTGAAGCCCCACTAAAACGCACGGAATGGCCCCAGATCTTCAGCCCATACCCTAGAACCCTGAAGTTGGAAGCCTGAAGACCCTAAACCCATCAAGCCTCGAGCCTACAACAGTTTATCGGAAAGCCTTCGAAAACTCAAAAACCATGAGGAAACGAGATCCGCGACATTGGCTCTCGGCTGCGCGCTGCCGGATGGACGAAGCCATGGGACCGGGGTCCCAGGGGCCATGCGATTGCTTTGGGAAAACTGGGTTGCCGTTAATGGAGTTCAAAGAAGTTACTATGATGATAAGGAAACCCTATTATTCATCATATAGCTCCATTAGCGTAAACTTAATACATTCCTTAACAACCCAGAAGGGTCGAATAGGGGTTCATGATGTGCATTTTGGATTTTGGGCTGCTTGGGTTTGCTTGAGTTTGGGTTTTCCTTGGGGATCTGTGAGGATGCTACATCGGTTTCGGCGTTCTTTGTGAGGCTTCAACACAGAAGTTGAGACTTACAGCTTTTCTCTCGGTGTTCTGTTAATTGTCTTAAGCACGATGCTTCTTCCCCACATCTTTGCAGTCCGTCAGAATCCCCAGATCCCAATCCTTTATAATAAAAGCACAATAATCAATACTAGTTGTAAGAACTGCTGCAATAGCAACAATAATGGTACGTAGATATTATTAACCGTATTAACCCTGAGCCTCGAAAGCTCTGGTGTCGGAAGATGTAGCCCAAACGGTGCGGATTCAGCATTAGTGCAACCGGGAGCATAGGGAGGAGCTCCATGCTTTTGGCAGAAAGCGCAGGATTCGTTCGGGTTCTGGGCAGGAGGCATCATGCCAATGCCGCAAGAGCTGTTAATGCAGCTGGGGGGCACAAGTCTGGCTGAGCCTAGCTTGGGAAGGGGTCACCAACTACACGTACGTGTGCAAAGATATCTTGTTTTTGTATATGGACCCTCTAGCCTTCCGAGTGTTTTCAACTCTCCTCGAAAGCCCAGGCCTTCACAGAATGCGGAGCTTTAGGTCCTTGGGAGGTGCCGCAAGCACCGTTCAGTGTTTGGGGTTCAGGATTTTTCGGAGGCTTGAGGCTCGAAGTCCTGGGCTTTGGAGTTTACCGTATGTTACTGTGCGGGCATCTTCAGATTCACCACTTGCTCCTTCCAGCACTTCCAGCTTGGTTGTGGAGATGTGAGGGGAGCCAAAACTTGGTTTGTTTCAAAAAAACTGCGGGGCAGGTGATTTCGGGACACACCATGTCAGATTAAGTTGTCTAGAAGTTGCGCTTCAATGTTTAGCTGTCAGGCTGAGCGCAGGCTTGAGAATTGACGGTGCATGGTAAAAAATCGCCTGAGATCTCCTCCTAGCCTTGAAGCATAGGCCGGAAGGATACACGCAAGGTTCATGAACGAACTGCATGGGGGATGCAGGCTTCGGCCGTCTCAACCATTTTTTGTTGCATACCCCAAAACACTCTAAAGTCCAAAGCCCGCAACTAAGTTCTCAGAGAGCCCTCGGAAGACTCGAAGTCCAAATGATACAAACTACGAGTAGAAGTTCGATAACAGCCTACACCTGAAAACCCACACCTGCAACCACCTGGCAAGTCTCGCGTCGGAGGTGGCTCAAACCTCATGGGGTGCACCCGTGGAGCTGCCGCTCAGCGACAAAAAGGGCTAAAGTTGCATGCGGCTCAGAGATACGGGGTTCACGGGGTTCAGGGTATGTTCTACAGGGTTTGGGGGGCTGTACTCGGGTGTCGGAAGAGCCCAGCAGGCACGCCCAACAGCACGCCCACTCTGGCTGAAATTGAATGGCAGGAGTCTCCATAATGCGAAACCCAATTCAATGCGTCATTATTCATACGTCGCATCAATCTAGGCCCCCCAAATCGCAGCCTAATCGTTCAGGCCCCTCTACCATTGGCTGGCTGGGGGTTACAGATGACCTAGACCATTTCCTGGTTCCGTAGTCAAGACTGGGTGCTTTCCCAGGTTCCATGTAAGATTCCCTCAGACGAGGCTCCCGGCATAGCTCCCCCGTTTTCAGAGGCTCCTGGTTAGCTTCGCATGGAGGAGCACACAATTGAAGCCGTAGCAAAAAGTGTTCTAAGTGGCTTCCAGATTTTGTTGCAGGCGGTTCTGCTTGAATCGCTGGTCCCCCGTATGTTTTTTTTATCGTGCAGCAAACGATTATTGAAGTGCGTACCATAGGGAGCCATTTTTCTAATTCCCATTTGGACTTTAGTATTTAGCTTTCATATCAAAGGATTCCGGGCCGGGGTTCCAGAATGCATGGAAAGGTCCTCTTCGCGGAAAGGGCGCTACATCTATCGTGGGAAGAGGATGTGCGAGGAAGACGAATCTTGGCTTTGAGCCAGGTGTGCTTGCGAAAGTGTCGTCTGAACACTGCTGACCAAATCTAAACCCTGACTAAGGAGATGTGCATCGCCTTCATGGCATTTCTGTGGGGGTGGAAGTGGGAGAAGACCGGTACCTGGTTTGGCCTCATCAATGACTGGAAGGACTCTGGAGCCAACAGTCACCAGCCAGCAAGAAGCAGAGCATCGGGTCCATCTAGTTTGGCGCAACCAGTAACTAGAGGCCGCGAGCGAATAAGATCAGAAGCAAAGCTTCATGCAGACGTCTTCTTTATAGGGCAAGTGGCTTTCTAAGGTTTCTTGAACGATATTGGCCAGCCAATCTACGACACCTTCGGCCCGAAAGACAAGAGCGCCTTCAGGACTTGTGTCCATAACGTCCAAGGAACCTGACACAGCACTGGCACTGCTTATTCTTCTGGAAATGACCCGTAGCTGCATTCCCAACAGGAAGATCAAGAACCCGAGCATCTGCTGCTCGACAGGGCACTCGCAATCAATCATTACTTCAAAGTCTTTCGGATCCGACCTAAACCCGACCGAGCGATGTTTGCATGTGTTTGTGAGATCTTTGTCGAAACAATGAACGAAAGTGCCATGTCCTGTGAACCTCTTGTTGCATCCAGCTGCATTCTGACTGAGCTTGACCGTGCCGCAATTGCCACACAAATACTGTAGTTTTTTCGAAGGCCGTCTCGCTTCCAATGGGCGGCATCGGCCGGTAGAAACCCCCTTCCCGTTTCCGACGCACGGACTGTCGCAAGCAAAAGACTGGTCGACTGCAATGATAATGAGCATATGCAGCATATCACTAGCTCGTCGCACTGCAACCGCTCCGAAGACAGGATTCACATCGAAGGCTTCAAGGTGGACAAGGACAAGGAGGTAAGCGAGCTGGGCTTCGCAGTGGACCGAGGGGCGGAAGTACAATTGGACCTCCTCCCGGTCGTGACTCCGGCTAAATTCAGTTTCTAGCGGTCTCAGGAACTGTAATTCCGAAGCCACCAGCCCTTCCGCAATGCACTTTCCTCACCTCTCTCAAGCTCGTTGTGCTGGGCCTGAATATTTGACATGGGTGTTTCTACAAGTGGCCCCGCGAAACCATGCAACAAGAGACACCGCCGAGCTGCCGAAATGCTAGCGGCTAGCGTGGGTGAGGATGGATGGGAAGGTAACCGCAAACCCTTCGGGCAAAGATCAGTCGGCCATTTGACTCAGAAGCCTGACGCAAAGCTGCGAGCAGGAATTTTCAACTCTGGGATTGAAGATTCTGCCGAAATTGTATGTCTGATGCCCTGAACAACGTGGACCCCACACCATGCTTTCTCCTTGGTCAGGCGACGCCTTTCGATGGCGACAACGGAGCTTGGGCTCACTGGGTTGTCACCAAGGTTGCTTGGCTGAGAGGCTAAGCGTTCAGGCTTTGCAACTCACGGCTTTGGGTTTTGACTTTAGGGATCCAGGTCCAAAGCTGATGGGCTTCTTGAGCTTCTTTTCTCGTCTTGCTTACCCGATGATGCATTCAACGACTCCATAACAGACACCTTCACTAATGAGGGAGCTTCTAGGATGTCTCCTACAGCTCCCTACCAGTGCATCCCTATCTAAAGAAGATCGACTCCGCAATATCGACAGCTTTCCAGTTGGTACTCGTAGCCTCTTGCAATCGGCCTACAAGTATATCATAGTAGGCCCCAAACCTCTCGTCTTCAGCTAAGGCCTCCCTAAATCCGAAACCCTCAACGCTGAACCGAGCTTTTAGAGGCCAAAGGCCAACAAAGCTCGGCCGAGCCCCGGAAAGGAGAGCCAAGTGGACGCCAAGTCCGATGCCAACTACCACGAACGGCCCCAAGCAGTGAGCCTGGGCCGAAGATCCAAAAAAAACGGTTTAGGCTGTAGGGGTTTAGGGTTTCGGGTCTCGAAGGTGTTAGGCTTTAGGTTTGGATGCCTTTGTTCCAGGTTTCTATGAAGATATCCCAGATGGAACAGAAAAGTTGAGCCGATCTTCTTCCGATGGAAAGAACAGACATGAGGGTTCCTGACATTCCTGCCGGGACCTCGCCCCAAAGCTTCCCTACGCTGTTGGCCTGAAACCAGCAGAATCACCAGAAGCCCAAACCCGAAGCCCTTCAACGGCCAAACACAGTACAAAGCAAGAAATGGACTCAACCTTCCTGGCCTCAATAACGTGACTGCCTCCTAAATCTTAGCGCACCCCATCCTACAACTTGAACCTTGCAACCATAAACCGAAACGAGGATTCCGAATGTCGTGGAAGGGTGCCCCGGCAGCTTCCGGGCGAAGCTGAAGACCTCAAAGCTCGAGGATGGAGGGAACTATCGCCTCTACGCTTTTGCGAGGAGGACCAGGTTTTTTGCAAAATTATGACATGGCTTTAGAATCCCTGTAGTCCTTCTATGAGTATTGTAATCGAACGTTCCTTCGTCCTTTGAAGACGAGGACTGTGTAGGGCTCGAGATTTAACGTTGAGTGTTGGAGAAATCTTGCACGAATTCAACACGGATTCTTCTGTACGGAATGTAGGTGTCTTGAGAGGGCTTCGATGATACAAGTGTTGTGGGAACGATACACACGGCAAACGCAGAAATGAGAAGACAGCCGTCACGAAAGCAGAACGTAGCAAAAGCCCAAAGCAAGCCTTTCGTTCGTCCTCAATTCTCTCGCAACCCGGTCGTCGAGCCAGGAAACACGAGGGTGGATTTGGACACTACCCATCGACGGTGGAGGCGCCTGCACATGCCATGACCTGCGTGGTTCGGGATTCGCCGAAAGCTTCCCACTCTCACATGGCTGTCAGGCATCATTTGCCATTCCGTTCCGAGTGGGCCCGCAGATGTGCTCGGATGTCACGCATGGTCACTGCTACGACGAGGTGCGACTATTACTATTCTAGCTAAGGGCTCGCGGTCCTCTTTGTTTACTTTTGCGGTCGTAGCAGAGGAATAGGAAAAGGACGAGGACGAGGTCCAACACCGCCACGTTATCATCATCACCACCACGATCACAAAGATCTTAACCAATGTTCCTTGACGATTACAACCAGATTTTCCAGGACCCGCTTGCCGATGCACAGCCTGCTCTTGGAAGGTGAACCGCATCAAGACCAGTGCTCAGCGCATGGGCTATAACACGTGGCCCTTCGGCTCTGATTCTTCTACGTTGCGCTGAGGTTATGGAAGTTTATTGGGTTCTACCGCGGTGTTTCTGCAGGTTGGGATCAGGTTTGAGGGTCTCCTTCAAGCATCCGGCGACATGCCCACCGGCACCGCTTACTAAGCCGTTTCCTGCTTGCTGTACAAATAACAAGAAGTTCTGCACCGCTGACACTGTGACCATCAATCCATGCACCTCCACTCTAGCCTATCATATCCAATTTTTATGCGCCTTCAAAGCCACCCGAATCCTTGATAATCGATGCGCGTTTCTGGCTGGACTGAACACAGGCCCGCCAAAGGGCTCCGCGCATCTTCGAGTTTCAAGGCATCTTGGAATCAGGGGGCACAGAGTTTAGGGCTGAGGGTTCAGCCTGCGAGTTCAGGTCATGGGCGTCAGGGTCTCGGAGTTGTCCTGGACGGTGCTCATTTGAATTTGATGTTTCATTTATGTGTGTGTGGCTTCTTTGCGTTTTCTGGAACTGCTTCTGTCTCCAATTGTACAATTTTGTGTTGTGGTAGCCTCTGTACTCCCAGCCTCTGGTTTTGAGCCCTTACAGCCTCAAGCCAAGGTGCCCGAGTGATTCTACTTATGAATATATGGCCGCTCTTAGTGGTATTACTGAAAGTACGTTGATCTCGGGCAGGAATACCAATCTGCTTTGCATGTGGAGAGCTGCTTGGATGCAAGTGAAGCCGCGCGACCCGTTGGAGAACCATTTTGGGAGCCGTTGGGGTAGAATTGGTGTTGCGCCGTTCTGCATTCTACAATGATCGTGGAGCTGCGTTTTCCAAAGTGCCTCACTTGCCAGGTCATGCAGGCTGCCCTGCTCCGTGCTCTGTGCAGATTCCGGCATCGGCCACAGCCGACTGCTCCGTGCCGACGAAGCTGCGCTATGTGGCGGATGTGGCAGCCATCCAGGAGCTGTTACTCGAACACGGTGCAAACCTTTCGGACGATTTGGGGAGCTGGCTTTTTTTAGAACCGACAAAGGTCTTTCGACAGACTGTGTCGCAGCATTCCCATGCCTAGTTAGATGCTTGAATGTTCAGGGATAGCTGCACTTGGGCCGGCACTTGGGGCTACGATTGCCACGATCCTGCCAGTAGCCCGTCTGTTCTGGCAGCCCAAGTAGCTTCATCCGTTCTGTTGCAGACCGCGTTGGTATCGAGGTACTGCATATGCTGGTAAGGATTCCCCAAGTGCAGATGCTACCGTCACTAGCGACTCATGACGCTTCTCATGATCAGTTTGAGGCTTGTTGCGACCATAGGCATTGACAGTCAAAGACTAGATTGGGGATTCATCGCGCTAGACTGTTCGGCGTTGCAGCTGTGCTGAGGCTGGCACCACCACCGCCCTTTGAATTGCCGGACGAGGACCGCACAACCTGCAGCACCGAAAGCCTTGAAGCAGGAGCCCCAAGCCAAGAAACCTTAGGCCTTAGACCCTTAAGCCTCCAAACTGCTGGAGGAGTGCCATACTTCGATCCCACATGAGGATTGCCGCCTGGCGTGCTGATGGGGTCTGAGCACAACTTGTAATTAAGTCGATGTAGCATTGAGTTTTCCTCCGTGTTCTTGCTACTAGATTTAGAGTTTAGGGTTTAGTTCTTAGCATGCCAGTAGAGCAGCGCAGGGGATTTGAGCATGGCCCTCGTAAGAGGGCTGTGTGTGCGCATGTGTCACGATCGAAATGTTTGTGTCCTTCTCTGGGAGGCTACTATGCCACGAAGTGGGTCATGGACCAAGGCAGATTCACAACGAATAACTTTCCAGAGGCCAGTCGCCAGTCGCTAGGGCTTAGCATGAGCTTGGACTTTAGGATGCCCATCAACCCCAAGATCCTAGAGTCCAGGCATCTTCCGGCCCTGTCTCCTTTGTCAGTTGACGGCGGACTCGAGTTGGGAAGATGGACAGCTGGCTTTGTGGAAGCGCGCGCGGAATGGCTGCAAGAAGCCCTGCATGGAAGCTCGGCTGGATCGCTGGATTGCAGGGATTCCCGCTGGGTTGCATTCAAGCGCCCCCAAACTTGTTTTGGAGTCTTGGCAAGCAGGATTCTCGTCTTCCGAAACTGATGTAACCCTCGACCATCGAACTCGAAACTCTGAAGGCCTAAACTCTGGAACCAAACCTCAAACCCTGAAACTAAAGCACTGAAACACAAAGCCAAGCTCTAACACCACCGAGCCCAGAAAAGTCCTGCTGTTGTGTCCTGTCCTGACGAAGAGCAGTTGTGCCAAGGAATCTGCAGAGACCACCCAGAAGGCTGATGAGGCGCGACCGAACCCAAAGAAAGCATTAATCGTTAATTATTCGTTACTCTCAGTGTTGTCGCAAAGGCCATGGTACTGTTTATTATATTGCAGCCTCATCAGTACTATGGTGGTGCTGGTGGTGATGATGATGATGATGATGATTATTTCTAGTGTTGTTATTTTTCGCTGGTGTTGCTGCAAGCAATCTTGGTCCAACTTACCTTGCTGGTGGTACTGTCGATGTTTACTTCTCACTTGATCATGACCGTTGGAGGAATGCCACACCTCAGTGCCACACGAAGACTGCCGCGCGGCTTGCAAAAAGAGGTTCAGGATGGAGCACCACCCTTTCTCATGGAGCGTTGCTACAACCAAGGCTTCTATGGCACGAAGTGGCTGCTGGACGAAGGCAGATGGAAGTATCCAGATGCCTTCCCAGAGGCAGGCTTAGAAGGTTCTTCCATATGCAACGCCTGTCTGACAGTGATTCCGGAGGTTACCGTCGAGTCGACTTGGGAAGACGCCCAAGAAGCGCTCTGGAAGCGTTCCAAGAACGGTTGCAAGAAACCGTGCCGAAAAGTCACTCAGCTAAACAGAACCTGCAGACGCTGCGGAGTGCTCTCAGGCTACCCAAACTGCACAGAGCGAAGAGCACGATTCAATAGGGCACTAAGTATTACAAGCAGCTTCGTGAAGCCAGACTGTTGCGCCGCTAAACCCGGTTGTCAACGATCGTCAGCTGTAGAGCTGTAGACCATCGAAGGCAACCGCGGTGTAAGGCTTTAGGTTCTGTGTCACGGCTTTCGGGCATTAGGATGGGAAACTGGGATCCATGGCTTGACGCGGAGAGTTTATACATCCGATGGAAGTGGACGAAAGAGATTGAGGCACATATTCCTTCAACCTTGTCCCGCAAGCTTACACCCGCCGTGCAGACGGTAAATAAAGACCCTGAACCCCTACACCTAAACCCCGACTTTTCAACGAATAGAGGATGCCAGTAATAAAGCCGAGTAGTCACAGGAGACGGTAGGGCTGTCCGTGTGTTTCCACGCCCACTTCGCCAAGTATCCGAAAGTCTTGTGCTGGGTTTGGAACGGATTTAGGGCCTGTTTGGTTTTTGAGCCGGGAAGTTGAGAAGCCGCTAAAGCGAAGTGTCAAGACTGTGGCATGGCTCGCTGTTGTTCCGGAAAGTGAAAAGGTGCCAACAGAACATGATCCGAAAGACTCTCCGTTTCTAAGCTTACAAGCAGCACTTCCCCCATAATTACCCGGGTAGCTTCGCGGCACGACTCATCAGGGCAGGGATACATCGCTTCTCTGTAGCTTCAATCTTGCAGTGCCTCTTACGGAAACTGCCCAGGAGCCCGAACCAACCACGACAACTACCACCACGACCACCACGACAGAGGAAGAGATGTCCGGCGAACGCTTGCCGCAATACCAGGGTCCCCACAACTTTAAAGCCCTTAACCTTCACGGGTAGGACGGAGGTCAGGAGGCCCAGCAGAAACAGCTTTCCAAGATCTGCCTCAGCTCCAAGCCACATCTGAGGAACTCGAAGAGACGACAACGCAGCAGGCTACAGAGGCACAGTTCAGACAGAGGGCTCATGCGCAAAGCCCTTCAGATCCCAAGGAACCCCAGACCGCACGTCGGGAACCTCGAAGCTGAAGCCTCAACAACCGTGAGTCGACAGCCCGAAGTTGCCTCCAGGAAGAGTGCCACACATCCGTGGAACCTGAAGATTGTGCCGTGGCATGCAGACGGCGAACGTATAAAGCTTAGTAGGGGCTTGCAGCTGTGTTTACGGAGGTTTGCATGGGTTTCTATATATATATATATAGAGGCCTGAGATTGGACTAGAAGTACATGAGGGAAGCCTAGGAAGCAACATCCCACTGTAGTCCTTCGAGACTTGACGCAGAGTGACGCGTTGCTGAGGCTTCTATGGCACAAAGTGGCTGATGGACGAAGGCAGATGGCAACATCCGGACTCCTTTCCCGAGGCGCGTGGTTTGAAGACGGCGCTGGAGTGGATGCCTTTCGATCGGTCCCTCTGCACCATACAGCGGCCTAATCCCTAGCACATTGACCATGTCATGTTTATCGTCACTAATGTACGCCTTTGATTAATAAATGGGGTGGGATTAATAAAATAATTATTCGGGCCCGTTCTGCCGATCGCCTTCTGGGAAGACTACAAGCCTGC